CTATGTTGAGATATATTTTCGAATTGTTTCAGAAAGAGAATACTGGACCTTTCTTTCACATGAATGGCAGTCTCTGAAAATTAAAACAAATCCAAGTTTAAAACCAGTTTAATCTTCCTCTAATCGTGATGACATGGTCGAAACCACAAAGTGCAGCTGTTGATGACTCGTGCAATTGTGTTGTTTCTGCAAACAAGTGTTGCCTAACCTTGCACTTGGCTATACCGTACTGATGACAGCTAATGAGCTAGAAACACGTGTCTGCGATTTGCTTATATTTTTTTGAGTGCTTCATCACGCAGGTACAAAAGATACCCCGTGGTGACTTCAGTGAAATCTCTAACCCGAGATGGCGTGACCGAAACCACAAAGTGCGGCTGGCTTCTGTTGTGCATCTGCGTTGTTTCTGCAACCAGAAACCATATTGGTTTCAATTTAAAAGCCACTGGTACACAGCTGTTTCAGCCTAGTGGGCATCGTCAGTACCGGGCAGGCGGTCCTCGATTGTAGACAAAATGTAAATAGCCAAGAAAAGTACTTGATAAAAATAACTGCGTAAACGCAAGCAAGACATAAATGGAACCACCTATTGGTGTGACACCCAAGTCAACTTAGGGTTTGGATTCTTGTTGAATAAAAGTTTTTCCTTTTTCATGAAATATATAAAGACGTTTTGTTCTCGGTCGATGACTTTTTCAATTTAATTTCTCATAATTAAACTACAATGGAATTTTTTTTTGGCAGTGATAGTTTTATAATAACCTTATGATACGTACCTAGGCTGCATTGTTGAAATAAAATGAATTTTGACATTTTCCTTCATTACTTATGTGGATGTCCTTTGTTTTTCCTGACACAGTGAAATTTTTTTATGATCTTGTTCTTTTGATGTTCATTTCAATTGTTGATGGCGGTGGCAGTGTTAAGGTGGAAACGTGAATCTGTATTTGTATGAGGAAGAATGATTGCGCAGGATCATGAATTTGTTTCTTGTATCTAACTGTCTTGTTTATTCTACTAAAAATGGTTGTTTGTTAGCTATAAAGGGGGAGATGAGGGTAGATTTTGATTTCCTTTAAAATGGCTGAATGAGTTATAATAATGTATAGTATATTTGATTTAGGTCATTTATGTATGTTCTGTTGTTCATGGAGTTAATGTGAATCATTTATTTTATTAATCTTTTGTGTGTTGCACACAAATAGAAAACTACGAAATACACGTCAATTATATTGCATCAAATTTTGACATATTTGTAGTAACTTCATTTGTTTTCAAAGTTTTCTTGGTTTGGTATTGTTTAGAATGATTTACATTTCAAATATTTCCCAAAATCGGATATATCTTGCCAGGGGTGTATTTTAGGTATAGGACATTCTTCATGAATTTGATATCTTTTTTTTTTAAGCACTTCAAATTTCTATAGTACATAAATAAAGTTAGTTGTAAAGATAATCAGAGATTTATTTTCACAAAAATGAATCTATGAAAAATATATTGGTTTTTTGTTATTTCGCGTTGTCATTTGACATTTGGTGTTTGACAAATAAGAACCAACGACCAACCTGCAACAAGCTATTACGCCGTATACATTGTGTCTACAGACACTATAAATCCACATTTCTTTTTGTTTTTTCAAAAGCTATATTTTTAGTAAAAAAATGTATTGATAAAATACTTACTCTTTGAGTTATTCTCGAAAAACCATCTGATGAATGAAAAATTGACTTTCATACACTCGCGAATAAGTCAGAAAGCACTTTCTTTCAGAAAAAAAAAACGAATTACTTTAAAAGTGTTGCCACTTCCATTAAAAAGTAGTAGAAACTTTGGTTTTTCAAATGGAACACCCTGTATATGATATCATTTTTGGAATCCACAACAATTACTCGACAACTCATCTTGATATTTCCCTATACCTATCTGTTACCGTTTTCGAAATATGATACAATTTCAATCTTTGTTTTAGTTAGTTGATACTTGGAGGCTTCCCACACTTCAGCGTAACCTCTGTTACTTCAATACAGGGTGGTAAAAAAATACAGTTTTTTGTTTGCTTGAATATGTCCCTTCAGAATGGTATTCTCATTCGGTATTTTGAAAGCAGGCCATGATTACTATTTTACATAACGTTGTGAAACTAAAGCTTCAGAAGTTTCAAATACCTTCAAACCGATGGAACAAAACTATTCAAACGAGGTTTTCATGAATTTGTTTATTATATTTGGACACTGTGATAAAATTATCATCAGGATATGTAAAAAGTTTAACGAAAGATATCCGAATCTACCGCAAATGATCCTCAAGAAATTTATACGAATTCAGAACAATTTTAATGCATTTGGATCAACTTTAGAAGGATCAAGAAACGAACCGTAACTTCTGAAGACAACTATATTGTAACGAATCTGAAGCCGGCCCTGACCGATATCTCAGCCAGCATCATCACCGCGAAAGAAGCAGTCTGACTCGCCGCGAAAATACTACCCAACCAGCAAAGTTCTTTTATAATTCCATGGTGTTGCAACAGTTTTATTTTATTAGTATTTTATAATTACTTCCAAAATGTTAATTGATTGTATTAGATGATCGGTGAACGCAATACAGTTGTAGGCAATAAAAGTGTTTCATAAATTATAAATTTCTTGAAGCTCATTAGCGGTAGATTCGGATACATATCATTGAACTTTTTACATGTTCTACTGATAATTTCATCACACTATCCAAAAATAATAAAAAAATTCATAAGAGTTTATTTTGAATAGTTTTGGTTCATCGTTGTGGAGGTATTTGAAACATCTGAAGTGACGAAAATGTTAATATTATTAGGAGAATGTCACAACGTTACTGTCAAATAGTAATCATGACCTGCTTATAAAAAGTCCGGTACTTTTCAGTAGTTAGGTATAAGCATGATAAACATAGGAAGAAAGCAAATTTTAACACCTTTTCATATTTGTAATAATACACAGGACTTTTTCAAGCAAACGGAATAACTGTATTTTTACAACCCTGTATTGAAATAACGGAGGTTACGCTGAAGTGTGGGAAGCTATCAAGTATTACCTAACTCAAAATCAAATTTTGGTACCATAGTATTCCTTAACTCAAAGATGTCAGCATTTTTAAAAGTCATGATTTCAGAAGAAAAACGTTTAATATAATTCATATTTCGAAAACGGTAACAGATAAGTATAGGGAAATATCAAGAAAAGTTGTCTAGTAATTGTTGTAGATTCCAAAAATGATATTATATACAGGGTGTTCCATTTGAAAAATCAAAGCTGCTACTACTTTCTAATGGAAGTGGCAACACCGCTTTGCCAAAAAATATTTAATTGGGTAGAGAATGACCGAATATGCTCTCCATTAAATTTTAAAAGTGATCCTTTGTCTGGTTCACCAGAAATGTCTAACATGCCATCCACCGTGAATCAGCGTCTATAACAAAAGTTGTTTCTTGAAACATTTTTCACTCTCAAAAAGAGGTGGATCCACCTCCAGGGGGAAAACTCTGAACTGAGTCAACTTTGAAGGATATGATAAGTACAATCTAAATTCAAATTTGTATGTGAACATCGGTGGTGTTTGTTAAAATTATAGGGGGAAAAGATCTTCGATAGCAAGTTGTGTGGAATTTCGCAGGAGGTTGTGATCGAATAGATATAGTTGTACGTTCAGATTAGTTTTGTATTACTATTTCAAAATTCACTCATTTTCATAACTTGACAGTTCAAAATTATTTGAAGTTACATAAACTGGTTTTTCGCGAGATGCGTATGAATGAATTATACTTTTCTATGCGGTAACTTTACGTCACACGAAAGAAAGTAGGAAACCTGGTTAGCTAGGAAAAGAATGATAATTTCGAAATAACGAATTCCTCAAAAAAAAAACAGTGGCTAATCACGTTTCTCTTTGAAATGACAGCCGCTCTAGCACAGCGGCAATGACAGAAAAAAATTACTAATGCTCAAAAAAAACATGTTTTAAAAAATATCCAGAGGAATACCAAAAAATATCCTTATCAAGAAAATCCGTGTATTCCCCTTTTAAACGAGGAAATGTGGAACAATTTTTTCAATTGTTAATTACAACATAGTAACTAATTTGAAGTCTATTTGAATTCTCAACAAAATCTTCAAAATATTTTAATCCTGCAGCATATCTTTTCCCAAGGATCCAATTTTAAGAGATCTAGTCATTTAGTCAAGTAAACAGGAAGTTATCAATAAAAACAAGTATTATTAAAATTATACCTACTTGGTCATTTGGAAAAATGCAAAATGTTTTCTTCTTCAGTTACCTATAAGTACTATCAATAGGAACGAAACTACAAAGAAACTAGATAGAAACATAATTTTTTCAAAAACTTTTTGAACTCTAATTCTTCAGATTCAATGGGCAAGTAATTTGTAATATGTCTATACTACACCTTACGATTTGATCTCTACAAACTTATGAAATTACTATGGATCTTCATCAAGGGCTGAATCAGTTAAAAAAAGTATGTCTACTCAATAATGGGATGATAAATAAAGATTAGAAAGGGAGAAATAATCTAGTATGTAGGTATTGCAAATAATGAAAATAACTAGTAAGAAAATTCAAATGTGGCCGTCAAGTAACATTTCATTTATATACTTTTTAATATACAAATCAGAAGAATATGAAGTATAAAAAATTGTTTCTACTGAAAAACTAGCAGAAAACACCCGGATTTTATGTTCCTGGAACAAGTGTTTTATTCTCTGTTGGACCTCGATATTCAGCCCGTAAATTATTGTGTAGGAGGGCTTTAACAATGAGACACAACTGATATCTTTCTTGTTTTTAGTTTGTTTATTCCTACACACATTTACTTACTATGAATGGGATGATGCAAATACAAAAGAACACTAAACCTGATAATCCATGATAAACAACCTTTATTTTTTCACATTTTTTCAAGAAGTAACTGAAATATTCTTCTATCGAAATGAAAATAAACAAAAACTCACATTTTCTTGTTCGTTTGTTAAATTGGCAGCCATGTTTGCAGGGTCACACATATGCACTCGCGCACCAAACTGGACTGGACATAATTATTATCTTCCTTTCCAGTTCCCATCATGAACACAGCAGCCTACAGCTCGCAATAGGGACAGGAGCGTACGCTATAGGACTTTGCAAGGGGTTTTAAAGTAATAAAAAATTAAAATAAAAGAAACGATAATGACAGATTAATGCAAAAGATTTCCTTAAATCTCACCCAATTTTTATGTCGTTAGTATATTTCTATGAATTGATAATTGGGCATATCGATATCTAGGATAATTATTCATTTCATGATATCTTTTTCTGTTTAAGCTTCATATAACAACTTGTATAAACCATACTATGATTTCCACCATTTCTATTTTTCCAATTGCAAAGTATTAATATCTTTCATTCCTCTACAGTATATATACAGTGTTGAATAAGAGTTAAGGGATGAATTTCATTTTCGTCCCATGCTGTTTCAGAATTCATGTGATACTGATTGTAATCTCTTGAAAAGCTACTGTCGAATAAATTAAAAAATGCCGACAAAATATTCAGCGTGTCCAAGATCTGAATGACTATAAATAACTAGGCCTCCTATCAGTGACATAACTTTACACAAAAGCGACTACAAACAAAACGTTTATATAAATTATATATATAAATCTTTGTTATGTGTCAAGCTTTCGGTAAATGTATTACCTTCATCAGGACAACTAAAATAGATTACAATATACTTATTTTATATAAAGGTATAAATATGGAACACTTACTAACGGGAAAATAATAAATAACTGGACCAACACGAACTGAAATAATAGGCATAACAATTTTTTTGAATATGTCACTTTTTGACAGTGTCATATGGAAAAACTTTGAATACTAGAGGATTTTTTCTTCTCCTTCTCGTATTTAGGTATAAATGTATAAATTTGCCTCAAATTGTTTAGATCTGTTCTCTTTTCATGCAATTTACTTCGTTATTATGTGGGTCATTAATGAAAATGTTCTTTCAGTTAGTTGGTTTCTCTATTCAAAATTTCTGTGTTCTCAAAATCCATCAAAATCCATCTTGGTTTTTCTCATTTTGTCTTCAATCGAGGACCGAGGACCCAGTACTGACGATGCCCAATAGGCTGAAACAGCTGTCTACCGATGGCTCTTAGATTGAAATCAATATGGGAATAATCAAAAAGTACTTATCTACTAATTTTTTGATTTTCATGGAATTATTTTCCAGCAGTTAGCACCACATCATCCAATGTCCTCTCTCTTATAAAACAAAATGTAGGGTGTCTACAGAGGCTCCAATAGATTCAATACTGACTAGTTAAGAACAAAACTTGGAAATTATCTTTGGTTGATCAGCAGAACGGAAGTGTACTCTTATAACACAAGTTTTTCCAATATTTCGATAAAATGTATTATCATCTTCAGGGAAAATCTAAAAAAATTGTATGATGGTGATACAGTATAAAAATTATCAATATGAAAGGTCATAACTTACTGTTAGTGAGGTTGGCCGTGTCGAAAAGAATGTTACATTTAAACAATTGAAACATGTCAATACAATAAAGAACTCATTAAATTGAAAGAGGTTGACACCTCACTGGATACAAAGAAGAATATTGAATTAAAATTTATCGTAAATTTAGTAAATTTTCAATTCAATATTCTTTGTATTGCTATTTAAAGAATGAAATTCCCAAGCAAACTACATGATGATGTGAACACTTTGAGTAAGATAGAGTAACGGAAAAATTTCCTAATTGATAATGGAGAGGATTTGAACATTCATTTTTCAATTTATAAGTGAGTAATCTTTCATTTTCATGGTTAAAATTAATTTATATAGGAGTGCATATCAAAAATCGATGAGTGAAAGAAATATATAAGCCCATAATAAAAAAGTACTCATTACATGAGTTGATTAAAGCTTTGCGTCAATATTTCAAAAACGGACACAAAAAATAATAACCCCATATTTTTCTATTTATCAATAAATCTATGGGATAAATATAAAATTCCATAAAAAAAAGTACCCAGTACACTAGTAAACTAGAACCTTGTTAGGCTCACTTCAACACTCAGAAAGAAAAGACAAATAAATAACAAAGATCAAAGCTTGATTTTGCAATGGATAATTTTCTTCGCTGTCAAGTTTTTCGTGGGAAGGGTGTTTGCTACCTCCTACCAACGACACTGAATATATATATATGAAAATATGAATAATTTCAACATAATTCGAAATATTACAAAATATTTTGTATCATTTACTGGTCCCATTAATTACCATTAAATTGTTGTGGTTTTCCTAACTAATGTGCAGGCTGAGAACAGAACAAGAAAATATGTTTCAAGTTACAAGTCACCAACTGGCAACACTGCCAACACTGAATAGAATAGTAGTACAAAACATCCTTCACTTATCTTACAACAGAGAAAATGTCAGAATCCGGATTCGACATGATACGAGAAAGTGTAATATTAGATTTGAAGAAATATTTTCCAGAGCAATTTACATAATTTTTTTTGTTTACATTGATTTCCACTTTGAAAAATGGATGAAGGAGAAAACGTCGAGTTGAGGACTGTAGAACATTCGATTCCAATAGATGTATTGGACGACATATTAACGTAATTACTTGGAAATACTATTTGTCCTTGAAAATATTTTGAATCGTAATTAGGAATATCAGATGTAAAGAATTTGTAAAGTTTTTTCATTATTCTAATAATTTTATATTTTTTTGCAGGAGGTTTCTGATATTTGTGCCTGAATCTGCCAAACAGAATTTAATAAGGATTTGTTTTCAAATCGAACTAGCCCACTGGTACTATTTAGATTTTTTCGTGGGCAACGATAGTCGTTTGAAACCTTGCACTATATATGAATTTGCAGCTCATGTGTTCCAGGTTAGTTACTGTTATTAAGAAAGTAAATTGTCTAAATAGGATGAAAACAACAATATAATTCAGAAGTGAATGGTTCAGTGTTGACAATTCAGTACTGAGTTTAATAACTACAAGAGTATCTGTTGTAAACCTTTTGCAGTGTGGATTAATCACAAGGCATTATTAATAGGGAATAGTTGTCACCATCAGAACTCAATTTATGGAGATGTCTTCTGTGCACAAATGTTAGGGACTAGGGAAATATAAGGCACCCATTGTGGAGAAAATATATCTACTTTGATGAATATTCTCAGAATAAAATAATCAGAAAAAATTGTGGCAGTTTTTGATAATGAGGCCTACATCAAATATGCAATCAATCAACAGCTTTCACTACATCATTTGTCATGATTCATGATTTGATTTATCATTTTTATCAGACATTTAAAAACTACAAGCACTTGCTTGTTAATTCATATGTAGCAGTCTTGCAAATGCCGAATGAAGCTCTAAAAAATGAGATTATGTATATTTAAACTGAAACAATATGTTACATTGGTATTGTTTCATTATGCTGCAGACTGTCTCCTCAACACATAGGTCTATGATCTGATTTATTGATCAAATTTTTCAATGCCATTTTGTTTTTATTAACTTGGTTAATATTACCCATGTATTATACTATCCAAAAAGCAAAATATATAAATAGCAGTATTTAACTTCAGTAAATGAAATCATTACAAGTAATGTGTTGAAAGGTTATCCACTTCAATCACTGGAAACTGATGAAACATTTCTTGAAACATGTTTAGGTATAATGGAAAAAAAGGTATAGAACTTGGCCAATTGAAAGCAATTCAAAATCTGCAAAATTTTAAATATTTTTCATTTCGCTAAAATCCCATTTACAGAACTAAAATTTGTCATGGATGTCTTTTATGACCTTTTACCCACAAGCATATGCAAAAATGAAAGGTCCTAATTTTCAAAACAGATAAATCTGTATGTATTATTTTCTAATCTATCCATTATATCAACGAATATTGAACACTCATACTTATCAGACCATACATTTCTGACTTGTGAATGTCTATTTTCATTAAATGATTATGAGTCAAATGAAATTATATTCAAACCTGATTATTCAGAATCTAACTTAACGACTTTCAGAAGTTTACTATTCAATGTTGGCCTAAGATGAAAAACAGAGGTTGCATCTTTTGATGCAACCAACTGGTCTTCAGCCTTTTCCGTTTCAGTAAATGTTCACATTTATTTATTGTATCATTATGGGAATAAAGACCTATTATTATTATTATCATTAATGAAAAATGGTCTAAGGTATTTAATTCGAAAACTGAAGATGAGGCATAGGCATTCAATTGTTTTCACTCCACTTTTGAACATTACTTCAACCTTGCTTTCACGTTAAAAAGAAAAAAATTAAGAATAACAAAACGCCATGGTTCAACTCAAATAAAGAATCTTCATCAAATGTTACGCGAAATGTCAAAAATAATCAAACATACACAAAATGATTGCATCAGAGAACGTTATAATTGCCTAAAAGTTCAGTATAGAGAAAAAATCAAGAAGGTTGAATTAGAATATAATAATGATATAATAAACAATTCCAATAACATATCAAGGGAAAGTTGGAAGATGATCAATGAAGCAAAAAATAAATCAACAACTCCACTACCATGACAGCTAACAATAAAAAATATTCAGGAAAAAGATGAAACTAAGATTTGTAATCACTTCAATTATTTGTTTACGAACTTGGGAGCTACTAAATTGAACTTGGAGAACATTAAACGTAAATTTTTCAATAGTACTATATTTTTAAGATCATCCACACCACAGGAGATCTATGAAATTATAAAAAACAACAAAAAGCCTCTGCTGGTGTAGATGATTTCTGCGGAAAAGCTGAAGAAAAAAAGGTTGTTGATTTGATATGTTATCCACTGTCACACATAATAAACATTATATCAATAAACATGTTTGTTGATGGACATTATCCAAAGGTTTTTAAGATATTAAAATCAGTCCCAATTTATAAGGGTAAAGAATCTAGAAAAGATGTCGGCAATTACAGGAATGTATGTGTACAATACCAGTTTGCCAAGGTAATAGACAGCACCTTCAATAAATAACTCACTTGTTTTATTAAACAAAATAATTTCATTTCAAATTGTCAACACGGGTTTATACATAAAAAATCCTTCGAAACTGCAACTAAAGTATTATGCACACACATCTATCAATATCTGAACGATAGAAAATTCCCATTGCTCTATTTTTCAATCTGATTAGCACTTTTGATACAGTTGATCATTTCCTGTTGTTAGATAAGCTCTACAATCTGGACATCCCCGGAGTGTAGCTAATAAGTGGATTGCATCTCACTTAGAAAACAGGATACAGATAGTAATGATTGAATCTGTTGAGCCAAATCCTGCAAATTCAACCACAGGGATCGGTTCCGGGTCCTTTACTTTTTATTGTTTTTATCATTTAGGCTGATGATAACAATCAGTTAATTGCGGAGAGTAATCTATCAAAATCTGTGGAAATATCAAATATTGCAAGTATGTTTTATGAGTGGTGTATCGATAACAGACTATCAGTTGATATACACAAGAGATTTTTCATGTTATTCCAGCAAAAGAATATTCATTATGATTATAGTCCATTAATAATGAATTAAATTTCTTGGAATTTATGTGAATCACAAGCGTACATAGGAAATTCATATACAACAATCTAGTATCCAAATTGAGCAGTATTTGCTTTGTTATTGGACAACTGCACGGCACCGTCTCTTTGGATATTCTTAAAGTATCATACCATGAACTTGTTAATTCCTTAATAAGCTATGGTCTGATATTCTGGGGTAACTCTGCTCACGTACATAATTTATGCAGAAAAAATTATAAGATGAATGGTCAAAGCTCATTATCAGGTGAGCTGTAGACCGATATTTAAAAGACTGTCCATTCTGATCTTGCTTGTATGTATATATATTTAATAACCAGCAACATCATAAAAGAAAAACAAAATCATGTGAGAGGAAATACTATGCGTGAGTATACCATTCGTAATTCAAATGAAATACGTCCACCGGTTTCCCGTCTAGACCTAGCACAAAACTCATTCACATATCTAGGAATCAAGTGTTATAACCAATGTGAAAAATTGATTGGTGAAATAAAACATATTGAAGTTTTCAAAACAACATTCTATGACTTTTTAATTAATCATGCCTTTTAGTCTGTGAAACTTCTGATGAAACTATGAACTTGAAAAATAAAATGACTTTCCTATATCATTCAACATATTCAACATCACTCAAGTATAAAAATAAGGAATGTTCACTGTTTATATGAGAAACATTGAACAAAAGTGCCTAAGTTTCTGCCTTTTGATGAGTTTCTCTTAGACGGAATATTTTTTTCATTATTTGTGTAACATATTATTTCAGTAAATCAAAAATATTTTGTTTTGGATTATGTTTTTACGGAGACCCGTAAGTAGTATCATTCAATCATATGGACTCTGGACTCATACTATACAGCTTGAGATCAAATACACATTCTGAATCATCATTATTATGCTGTTTATAAATAGAATGAAGGCCTGGCCAATCATGGTTATTAGTTGGCAGTTACGAATATAATATAATGATATTAATATAACTTACTTATTGTGAAATAAAAAGAGAAACCCGTTGAAGGTAGAACTTTATGCATGGGTAAGGGGTATGTTAGATACATTAGTTCTGTGATGGAGGCGGTACAAAAAATTGAATCCTCTAGACTTGGTCAATTTTCAATTACAGCATATACCATTCTTAAAAAGTGAAAGTCACAAGCTAAAAGAAATACTCGAAGAATGGAAAGAATACAAACAAGTTGTACCTACTTATGGGGCCATAATATTATCTGAAAATATGTCCCACGTTCTTCTAGTTCAAAGTTATTGGGCCAAATCATCTTGGGGTTTTCCCAAGGGTAAAGTAAATGAAGAGGAAGATCCAGCACATTGTGCAGTAAGAGAGGTTTTAGAAGAAACAGGTTTTGATATCAGCGAATATATTGACCCTGAGGACTATTTGGAGTCTACAATCAATGAGCAGTTAGTAAGGTAAGTTATTGCCGACCGATTATTTAAATAGGCAGCCAATTCATTATAAAATTCATTTTATAACACTTTTTTGGTTCAGAAATGGATCAGATGGCTTCCGAGGTATTATTCCACAATCTGAAAAATAAACAAAGTTAAATCGATAGAGAATCTGCTGAAGTGTATTAAAGACAAACTAAAAAGTTCTCTCCGAACAGTTACTGCTTACTATGAACTAACATAAAGTTCATCAATTAGTTAGGAATTTGTTGTTATCATAAATTTTGCCTACAACAAGGAAGCAACACCTGAGATGTGGAAAAATTGGCTCAAAGAAGATAACAAAGACGACGTTTTTACTGTGGAAAACTCAAAAACAAAGGAAAGTTCTCATCCTTCAAGAATTACTGGCCACCTGGAGTCATGGTAATACGTTTCAACTTTTTGAAAAACAGAGGAAATGCTTTTTTAGGTCAGAAGTGAGCTGCCACAGCAGTTCCAAGAAGCATTTTCAAATTGCGTATCAAAATGTAGGGGGCCTGCGAATCAAATTAGAACCCTTCAATAAAAATGTATCATGCCAGAACTCAGATGTCCTAGCTGTCACTGAAACCTGGCTGAATGATTCCTTCTACGATGGTGAAATAAGAGACTCCAGGTACTAGGTTTTTCGCAATGACAGAAAGTATGAAAAAATGCAAGCCTTAAGAGGCGGAGGTGTCATGATTGTAGCCAAAAAGAAGAATTCTCCACAGCTGATCACCAAAAGTAATAGTGTAGACTATGACTGGATAATCACCTCTGTTAAGTTTCGAGAAATCAAAATCTTAATATGTTGTGTATACATTCCCCCAAATTCAAGACAAGAAGTATACAATGAGCTCATTTTATCTCTAGAAAGTGTTGATGAATTGAATAACTCCGATTTTGTCTACATTATAGGTGACTTTAATATTCCGGAAATAAATGGTGCATTGTTTGGTTTCGAGACCTGCACAGCTAAAGGTAAATATATTGATGACCTCATGAGCAACTATGATCTTTTTTCTGTAAATGATATAACTAATTCAAACCACGTCACTCTTGACCTCGTCCTAACAAATTTAGCCAGCACAAGTGTTACAACACACAACTTCAAGCCTGCATGGTGACATAGACGAGTATCACCCCCCACTAGAAATTGATATTATTTTGATCACCGGAGCGGTGATTACATCAAACTCTATCACCTAGTGAGCCAAACTCAATGGGAAAATGTGTTAGTATCAAAAGATCTGGATAAGTTGATTGAGCTTTTTACAAAAGACATACCATAGAGTCTTTTGTAAAAAGCATCAACGAATGCTTGCAAAAAAAGGAAATAAAGTACGATAATAAATTCCGCCACTGGTATAGCGCTAAACTTGGGCAGACGATAAAGGAAAAGGAAAAATACTTTAAAAAATCCAAACGTGCAACTCCAAAATATAGTGAATACAGAAATAAATTTTGTGAACTTAAAGTAAAAGTAAAATGGAACAATGTCAGCTCTCTCACATACAAACTGTTGAAAATAAAATCAGTAAAAACTCTAAAGAATGTTGGAATAACATTAACAGTAAAAAAAATTATTACAAAATATCGGACCGACAAGTCGTTACAACTCAATTTTATACACGGATTTAGTTCATCGAATTTTATGCAGAGGGCGTCCGGATATTTTCTGTATATAGTATATAATTATATACAAACTCTCTTTGACCAAGATATTGCTAATGCTTTTGTTGAATATTTTCAATCAGTTTATAGTAATGATTCTCCAGGTTGCACCAATCTCTATCTAGAGATCAACCTGCGAGAATTATGTATATCATCAATTTCCAAACAAGATATCTGTAAAGCAGTTAGATCCGTGAAACCCAAAACATCAACTGGAGTTGACAGTATTCCATCTTACTTTTACAAAGGTTATATGGAAAACCTAATAAGACCTCTGAATATAATCTTCAATAGCGTTGTTGAAAGTAGTGTGTTTCCAAAACAACTCAAAATGGGACGTATAATTCCTATCCATAAATCTGGAAATCAAAATCTCATAACAAACTATAGGCCGATAACAATACTCCCCTCATTATGAAAAATCTCAAAGAGAGTCTTATTCAACAGACTATATGCCCATGTTGAAGACGTTATCTACAAAGAACAGCACGGTTTTGTTAATAAAAAATTAACTGTAACAAATCTCATGGTGTTCACCAATAACTTAGCACTCTCGATAAATACTGGAAAACAAGTTGACGTAATCTACACAGACCTAGCGGAAGCATTCGACAAAGTGAACCATGGAGTTCTCATCGCCAAATTAAGGAAATTCTCTATGAATCAATCAATGATAACATTAGTGAAGTCATATCTATCAGATAGAGATCAATTTGTTGCTTTCAATAGAAAAAGGTCTACACTATTCAGACCAACCTCTGGTGTTCCTCAGGGATCAATTCTAGGCCCACTTTCATTTATAATGTTCATTAACAATATAGATGATTATATAAGACATTCCAAAATCCTACTCTATGAAGGTGATCTCAAACTATACCAAACCATCAACGATGAAAGAGACAGTGAAATCCTTCAGAAAGACTTAGATTCTATCACTATCTTTTGTGAGACGAACAACTTGATGCTGAATGAGGGTAAATGCAAAGTTATGTCTTTTTCAGGGAAAAATGTTATTACTCCAACGGAATATTCAATAAATGTCACCAAACTGGAAAAACTTGCTCAAATCAGATATCTAGGAGTCATATTTAATAGTAACTATAACACTCTATACACCTATAAATGTGTTCCATGAAAAACTAAAACGTATTTTCCAATGTTGTTTCCCAGTACAGAAGATTGAAGCAAAAAATAAAAGGAAGCCTTGGATAACTTCTGGTATCAGAGTCTCAGCGATGAATCTGCGATCATTGCAATATATCAATAAATACATGTCCGATGAACTCTTCTCATCATATATAACCAAATATAAGCGTATTTACAGATCTATCATTGAAGCTGCCAAAGAAAAGTTCTATCGGAATAAAATTGACAAGGCAAAAAATAAAACTCGGGAAAACTGGTCCATTATAAATAACTTAAGAGGTAAAGCTGCAAAACTCCCCAAACAACCAATAATAAACCCAAACATACTCAATAACTTCTTTTGCACTATAGCTGAAAAATTAACCTCAAATATACAAGCACAAATGGATCCACTGGACTACTTAGAAGGCATGTTCATTCCTGATA